TTGCAGAAAAACAGGGCAATTTACATACGAGTTCAGGAACATTATGCATACTAGTACTTCTGGATAAAAGCTCCTGTCATAGACTACCCAGAGATTCTCAAGACTCGTGGCTGTTTTTTAGAATGTGGCTTAGAATACTTGAATTTCTTAGCACCTTGAGAACTATGAAGCACAAATATGTATATATATTGCTTCATTATGGCAATTGAAAGTCTTTATTTGTAATCCTATATGATAAAAGCCTAATATGCCAAGTGGCCAGTTGGCTGTTCAACCAAAGCATGATATGCTAAAGCCGCTCAACTACTTGCTATGACGTACACTGATCACCAGTGGTAGACAGTCAACTGGTCAGCCAGTCACTATAATGTGCATTGACCACCAGAGGGCAGATGCTCCAACCAGTAGGTTAGCTGGCTGCTGGGGTCTGGCTGATTGGGACTTAGCGAGGTGGGCCTGACACGCCTTGGAGCCCTCCCATGGTCCCTCCCCTGCTGGCCAACCTCCTGCATTCCTCCTTGGCTCTGATTGTGCACTGGTGGGGTCCCTTGGCCTGGCCTGTGCCCCCTCACATTCAGCCCAACAGCGTAACAACTAGTCACTATGACGTACATTGACCACCAGGGGGCAGATGCTCAACGCAGGAGCTGCCCCCTGGTGGTCAGTGTGCTCCCACAGCAGGGAGTGGGCCTAAGCTGTTGGACATCCCCGGAGGGCTCCCGGACTCTGAGAAGGCTCAGGCTAGGCTGAGGGACCCCCAAATCCCTAAGTGCGTGCATTTTGTGCACCGGGCCTGTAGTGTAAAATAAAGGTCTATTTGTTCAAAATATGGCCACTCCTGATGCCAAACTGCTTCAGGCATATGAATTTCCTTTTTCCCACTTAACCTGAAATTAAGTGGATTGAATGGTCAAAATTGGTGTATTTTTGTGTTACGAAATGTACATTAAAAGGTAAGATGAGCCCTGACCGGTTTGGCTCAGTGGATAGAGCATCGGCCTGCGGACTGAAAGGTCCCAGGTTCGAGTCCAGCCAAGGGCATGTATCTTGCTTGCGGGCACATCCCCAGTAGGAGATGTGCAAGAGGCAGCTGATCGATGTTTCTCTCTCATCTATGTTTCTAACTCCATCCCTCTCTCTTCCTCTCTATAAAAAAATCAATAAAATATATTAAAAATAAATTTTAAAAAATTAAAAAAATAAAAGGTAAGATGAACCCAGCCAGTGTGGTTCAATGGTTGAGCATTGACCTATGAGCCAAGAGGTTGCAGTTTTGTGTGTGTTTTTTAATATATTTTTACTGATTTCAGGGGAACATGGAGAGGGAGAGATGGAAACATCAATGATGAGAATCATTGATTGGCTGCCTCCTACACACACCACATGGGCTCCAACCTGCATCCCAGTCATGTGCCCTGACCAGGAATTGAACTGTGACCTCCTGGTTCATACGTGGATGCTCAACCACAGGGCAAGAGGTTGCAGTTTTGATTTCCGGTCATAGCACATGCCCCGATGTTTCCATCTCTCCCTCTTGCTAAAATAAAAATAAAAGCATGTAAAAAAGATAAGGTGAGTAATGAATATAGAAAACAAGAAAGGCCTAAGTAATTTCTAAGAAAGCAAAATACAAATGAAATATCAGGTTTTGCCAATTTAAGCTCCCACCAATTATATAAGAAAGGGTGGTCTTGGAGCAAAAGGTGTTCAGATTTTAGTAAAGGAAAATAAGCTTTACTCTGAATTATTTATTCCAGAAAAATATTTCAAAATGAAATTGAGGTAACAGTTTTCAAAAACAATATGGTGAGAGAAAAAACTAATGGAACTGAGGGGAAAAAAGATTACATGATGTTAGTACTAAAATGCATACATACTATGGCATTCTGTTTGACTAAGTTCTGCCCTACACTTAATCTTAACTGACCCTAAAAAGGCTGTCCAATCGGGAAACCTTGCTTGGTGTTCATAGGTTAAAAACAAAGCAGTTGCTTAACACTCAAACCAGTCATGAGTCCTCACTAGGATACTGTGATGTGAATCTAGGTATGTTTCTTTCTGATGGCAATTTAATCCTGGAATAGATTTTCATGGCATGATTTTTCAGACTTCTACAAATACTGCGGGGGTTTTTGTGTGCGTGTAAATTTGAGAGGATACTCTATGCTGGGAATGTAACATACTTTAACAATGAGTTAGAGATAAAATTGAAAAAATTGAGACTGTCAAAGAGGGCCTAGACTCCCTCCCCTCAAGGGTGAGCATTGACACATGAGTAATTGAAGCACCACAGTGTCAGGAGAGTGTGGCTCTGATCACTTTCATTTGGAAAAATTAAAAGTACTTAAAAAGGAGAACTGGGAGTTAGTGTTTAATTTGTAGAGTTTCAGTTGGAGAAGATGAAAAAGTTGGATGGTGGTGATGGTTGCACAATGAATGTACTGAATGCCACAGATCTGTACACCTGCAAATGCTAAATTTTATGTATAGTTTACCACACACACAAAAAAGGACACAAAAAAAAGCTCTCTAATATAAAGATCCACATATCTCTAACTTGGTACTATTTCTTGCTGCTGTATTCTGTAATTTGAAAGTTGTGAAATGACTAGGTTACCAATGAGATGATTGCTTGCTTTGTGACTGCTCCATCACTAGGGCCTAGAACAGATCCTGGATTGGAGTAAATATCGAATTAATGGAAGGAAGGGAAAGAGGGGGGAGAAATAAATGATTGGTAGAGCCCATTAATTTAGGAAATTCCCAAACAGAAAATTCCTTCAAATTAAACCTATGAGCTGAAATATAAAAGGAATGACAGAAGTCTAGGTTGAACATATATTGAATCTTGATGACCCAAAAAAAGGATTAAGAATCACTTTTAAATCTGTTTAGTTCAGGAAGAGAAATGGTAATTTAACATAATTATAAAGTATTGGTGTTTAAGTCACCTTGTAAATTTGTTTATATTGAATGGATCCCTAATGTCAGATAAGTGTTCTATTTGATATTTGTAAAATCAAGTGCAGAGAAGTCCAATAGGAAATGTTCTTTTAAACATAAGGGACGTGAATTTTATTTTCAAGTACTGTACATTAGAAATTACTTTCACTAACCTCTTTATAAAGGCATACATGTATTTGTAATCAAACTTTTAATGCAATTACAATTTTTATATTATGGTTTGTATGCTCTAGTTTCTCA